GCTTCACAGCCTCCCTCCGAGGGGACCCGGACACCCTGCTTTGCAGAGTCCCTCCGAGGGGACCTGGGCACCCCGCTTCGCAGAGTCCCCCCCGGGGGCACCCCGCTTTGCAGAGTCCCTCCGAGGGGACCTGGGCACCCCGATTTGCAGAGTTCCTCTGAGAGGCCCCTTAGTCCCGTGCTGCCAGCAGCCCTATCCGGGCTCCACGTCCAGTGCGACATCGAGTGTAGACTGCCATCGCTTGGTTTCCCGCCGGGAGTCCTGCAGCCCGCGCGCCCGGAGAGCCCCGCTTTACCTGCACCCGCGCAGCGAGCGCCCCGCACGCTGGACCTGAGTGCGCGCCCGAGAGCCCGCGCCGCGCTGTCCGGGTGCTGCGACACTGACCACGTCCTTGTGCTTCCGCCAACAGCCGAGCCTGCGCAGGAACCGCCTCCATGCGACCACGCCCCCTGTCCGGGCACGCCCCTCAGCCCCGCCCCGCCGTGGGTACGCCCATCCGCAGGCCCCGCCCATAGCCCCAGCTCAGCCACCACGCCCCCTCTCGGACACCACCCCACTCGACCACGCCCCACCGTGGACACGCCCCCTACAGGGCCACGCTCACGTCCCCAATTCAGGGCCTCGCTCCCTTCAAGGCCACTTCCACCCCCGCCCCGCTGCCCTTCCCGCCTGCAGGGTGGTGGGTCCCCCTAGTCTGCGCAGTGGGAACCAGCTCGTTTCAGCTCTGTCCCCTGCTCCCCTCGGGGCCCTGCCAAAGCCGCTTTCAAAGTTTCAGTTCTTTTAATATTTAAAGTACTCTGGTTTGCTTTTTGCCATTAGGCCTCCAGCGGGTTCCAGCTCATGGAGGTGCAAGCCTTGCGCTCGCTGTCCTTGGCCTTCCTCACCTCTCCACCGCGCTGCCCCACTTGTGCAGTCTCTGTGTCACCCCATCTTCTCGATCTTGTTCCCCTCCTTCGCTGGCCTTTCACCTGTTCCAGCATGATGACCTTCTCCAGGCTCTGGGTCCCTTCTGACAACATACCCAGTGTGTGAGAGTTTCCCGTCCTTATGTAAGGAGCAGGCAGGCTGCACTTCTGCCAAGACAGGTTGGTCTGGCTTCCTGAACACCACAATTCAAAGGCGTCAGTCTTTCACTCTTTTTATTCATTGCAATTTTCACAAGCATATGAAGTAACTGAAAATACCAAGGCTTGGGTCAAGTGTGTCTAGTCTTTAAACAGACATCCTTGCCCTTCATTATTTTAAAGAGGTCTGTAACAGCAGTTTCCCAAAGCAGGTAAGGCTTTTGATTTCTTGATTGCTGCTATCAAAGGTGTTTGTGAATCCAAGCAAAACAACATCGCTGACAGCTAGCCTTCCCTCCAAACAGTCATCATGTTGACTATCTCCAGTGGTGAGGATTTTTGTTTTCTTCATACTGAAGACTGTAATCTTTGACATTTTTCAGTCAGAGCTTCAAGTCCTCCTCACTGCCTGCAAGCAAGGTGTGCCACCTGCATAACACAAGTTGCTAAAGAATCTTCCTCCAATCCTAAACTAACTTCATAAAGTTCAATTTAGGTATGGAGAAATGATACACACTGATACATGCCATTCTTGACTTCAAACAATTTTTTAAAATCCTCACCACTGGGCCAACAGGCAGCATTTTGATAGCGGAGGAAAGACTGAAGTTGTCAATGATTTTGTTTTACTTGGATCCACAAATCGCCCCTTGTGCTTTGAATGATTGGTGCTTGGTTTACACACAGGCTCCACGGGAGCACAATCAGGTGTTCTGGGACTCGCACTCTTGATTGGTGACGAGTTTAGACAGAACTGCAGCCAGGACGGAGCGAGGCAGAGGACTTCAGAAAGCCCTTGTCTCCCTTGGCAGTGACAGCAGCCCCTGGGGTGAGCGCTGAAGGTGTATCCCCATCCAGATCATCTCTTAGACACCATTGCCATAGGCTCCTGCTGCCACGGATCTCCCCAAAGTGTCAAGGGCAAGGATGTCCGTTAAAGACTAAGATTGGTCAGATGTAAGCCATGACATTCAAGTGCTTCCTATACACCTGCAAGTTACACAATGAAAAAGAATCAATGCCTCTGAGCTGTGGTCTGGGACACGCCCACTGTCTCCGAGGTGGGCCTGCATGGCCCCGGGGTCCACTGCACACCCACCTGTACAGAAACCTGAACCAGTGCACCTGAGCCTGCCCGGACGGTGCCACCCACTCCTGTGAGGGCAGACTGAGGGACTGGTGGGCAGCGTCCATCCTCACCAAATAGACACATTGTCCCTACTCCACAAACACCCGGAGGATGCTGGTCCTGGGGGTAGGAAGTGTGCTGCCAGCCCACCTTAGTGGCCCCCGGCCAGGAGCTAGACCCATCCGGCAAAGCAGTGGATTTGGGCTCAGCAGAGGTTGTGAGGATGTGCTGGACTCGCCAGCATCAACACCTGTGCCATCTGCATCCTGCTTTGCTCCTGCAACACCACTCATCACATGGCCAGTGGCCCCCAGCTGCAGGAGGGACCTAGCTGCCCGGGACCAGGGTGGTGGACAGTCTCCTCCTCCTCTGAAGCCTGAGGGGAGCCCAGGCCGACCTGACCCTGTACTGCTGAGTGGATCGGCTCACCGCTCTTGTCCCACAGAGAGTTGGTGGTGGGACTCACCAGCCGGGGGCGCACTGGCGAGCAGATCGGCACAGCCTTGTGGGCACACAGTGCTGAGATCCAGGCGGAACTGGCCCCTCAGGTGAGCAAGAAAGACGAGCGAGCTGTGTTCACCCCGCTACTGGACAATCTCTCACACTGGGACGACGTGCTCCCAGATCATCCCCACCAATGCACACAGGGCTACCCCGCCCAGCCGTTCAGAGTCCTGCTGTCCAGCCCATCTGCTCGGCTGCCCTCCGGGAGCCTCTAACAAGATGAACACAGTGTCGTCTACTTTGCGCCTCCGCCTCAGTGACCAGCTGCACTAGAGGGTGCAGGGCCAGGTGGTGTGTGGGAGAGTGTGTGTGACACGCTGTGTGTGTGACACGCTGTGTGTGACACGCTGTGTGTGTGACACGGTGTGTGTGACAGAAAGAGAGAGACGGACTGTGTGTCAGTGCATGAGTGTGAGACTGTGCGAGGGTGTTGCCTGCAACAGACTGTGTGACAGATTCTGTGTACACATGTCTGAGTGTGTGTAAGACAATGTGTGTGTGCAGGGAACACATCTGAGTGAGAATGTGTGTACAAGAATGTGTAAGTGTGGTGAATGTGTGAGTGTACACATGTGCATATGAGTGTGTGTGAGAGTAGAGGTGAGTATGGAGAGGGGTGCGTGTGAGCTTGTATATAGGTGTGTGTATATGGATGTGTGTGTGTGTGTGTGTATGACTCTGTGTGTGTGAATGTGTATATGGGGGTGTGTGTATATGAATGTGTGTGCATATGAGTATCTGAGTGTGTGTGTGTGTGTGCATATGAGTAGATGACTGTAAGCATGTATGAGTATGACACAGATGTGTATGTGTGAATAGGTGAGTGTGCACTCCAATTTCGTCAGCATGGCCCCCACTCCACAAACACAAGCCCACCTTCAGTGGGCGCCCACCCCTT